CGGTCCCCGAGTCTCCGCTTGGTTTCCCCGATGTAGAGGAAGCCACAACGGGTACAGCGGATGCAGTATACCACATTGGCAGATGTGCAGGTGAACATCTGCTTGATGTGGAAAGTCTTCTTGGGGCCTGGGATGGGGGTGAGGGAGGAGGTATGGGGGCAGGTGTAGCACTTCCTGCGGTTGCAGGGAAAAGTGCCGGGTGTGGTGGGGCTGGAGGGGAGTGTGGAGCGGACAAGGGAGTCACGGAGAGAGTGGTCCCTCCGGAAAGCAGATAAGGGTGGGGAGGGAAAGATGTCTTTGGTGGTGGGGTCGGATTGCAGATGGCGGAAGTGTCGGAGGATGATGCGTTGGATCCGGAGGTTGGTGGGGTGGTACGTGAGGACGAGGGGGATTCTTTTTTGGTTCTTATTGCGTGGACGGGGTGTGAGGGATGAGGTGCGGGAGATGTGGGAGACACGGTTGAGGGCGTTCTCGACCACCGAGGAGGAGAAGTTACGGTCCTTGAAAAACGAGGACAACTGAGATGTACGGGAGTGGAATGCCTCATCCTGGGAGCAGATGCGGCGGAGGCGAAGGAATTGGGAATAGGGGATGGCATTTTTGCAGGAAGGTGGGTGGGAGGAGGAGTATTCTAGGTAGCTGTGGGAGTCGGTGGGCTTGAAATGAATATCGGTTTCTAGGTGGTTGCCCGATATGGAGACAGAGAGGTCCAGGAAGGGGAGAGAGGTGTTAGAGATGGTCCAGGTAAACTTAAGGTTGGGGTGGAAGGTGTTAGTGAAGTGTATGAACTGTTCGAGCTCCTCGTGGGAGCACGAGGCGGCGCCGATACAGTCATCAATGTAACGGAGGAAGAGGTGGGGTTTAGGGCCGGTGTAGGTACGGAAGAGGGATTGTTCCATGTAACCTACAAAGAGGCAGGCGTAGCTTGGGCCCATGCGGGTACCCATGGCTACCCCCTTTGTCTGTAGGAAGTGGGAGGAATTGAAAGAGTGTGAGGACGAGTTCGGCTAAGCGGATGAGGGTATCAGTGGAGGGGGACTGGTCGGGCCTGCGGGACAGGAAGAAGCGGAGGGCCTTGAGGCCATCTGCATGGGGAATGCAGGTGTAGAGGGACTGGACGTCCATGGTAAAGATGAGGTGTTGGGGACCGGGGAATTGGAAGTTCTGGAGGAGGTGGAGGGCGTGGGTGGTGTCACGGACATAGGTAGGGAGTTCCTGGACCAAGGGGGAGAAAATGGAGTCTAGATAGTTGGAGATCAGTTCGGTGGGGCAGGAGCAGGCGGAGACAGTGGGTCGACCAGGGCATTCAGGTTTGTGGATTTTGGGAAGGAGATAGAAGCGGGCAGTGCGAGGTTGGGGAACGACGAGGTTGGAGGCCGTGGGTGGGAGGTCACCTGAGGTGATGAGGTTGTGGATAGTTTGCGAGATGATGGTTTGGTGCTCAGGGGTGGGGTCATGATCAAGGGGGTGGTAGGAGGAGGTGTCGGAGAGTTGGCGTCCGGCCTCGGCGATGTAGAGGTCAGTGCGCCATACTACAACTGCGCCTCCCTTGTCCGCGGGTTTTATGGTGAAGTTGGGATTGGAGCGGAGGGAGCGGAGGGCTGCACGCTCTGCAGGGGAGAGGTTGGAGTGGGTGAGAGGGGTGGAGAGGTTGAGGCGATTGATGTCTCGACGGCAGTTGGAGATGAAGAGGTCGAGGGAGGGTAGGAGGCCTTGGGGTGGTGTCCAGGAGGAGGGGGTGTGTTGGAAGCGGGAGAAGGGGTCAGTAGAGGGAGGGTTAGGTTCACGGTTAAAGAAGTAAGCATGGAGGTGGAGGCGGCGGAAAAACTGCTCTATGTCCAAGCGTGAGCGGTATTCGTTGATCTGTGGGTGGAGGGGGACAAAGGTGAGCCCTTTACTGAGGACTGACCGTTCGTCCTCAGTAAGGGGTAGGTCTGGGGGGATGGTGAAGACTCGGCAGGGCTGGGTGCTGCTGTCTCCTCTGGAGCTGCTGGCTGTGGAGGTGGTGGGCGGAGCTGCGCCGGCCTCCTGCAGTGCCACAACGATGCCACCCGAAGGTTGCAGGAACAGCAACTCATATTCCGCTTGGGAACCCTGCAGCCCAATGGTATCAATGTGGATTTCACAAGTTTCAAAATCTCCCCTCCCCCTACCGCATCCCAAAACCAGTCCAGCTCGTCCCTGCCTCCCTAAGCTGTTCTTCCTCCCACCTATCCCCTCCTCCCACCTCAAGCCGCACCTCCATCTCCTACCGACCAACCTCATCCCGCCCCCTTGACCTGTCCGTCCTCCCTGGACTGACCTATTCCCTTCCTAACTCCCTACCTACACTCACCTTTCCTGGCCCCATCCCCGCCTCTTCGACCTGTTTGTTTCCTCTCCACCTATCCTCTCCTCTATCCATCTTCTATCCGCCTCCCACTCTCTCCCTATTTATTTCAAAACCCCCTTCCCCTCCCCCTTTTCTGATGAAGGGTCTAGGCCCGAAACGTCAGCCTCTCTGCTCCTATGATTTTTAAGCATCACTTTTTCAAAATAATGTGACAAAATATAAAGTTATTAATAAAGAAACAACAATATCTCTTTAATGTGGTTTTTCTTGTTCTGCATAGGAAACGCGTACTGAGGTTGTCAGCTGGAATTGACCATGTCGGCACTATCCATTGGCAGTTAGTACTTTGCCTTCTTTTGATCTGGATTATTTGCTTCTTCTGTATCTGGAAGGGAGTTAAATCAACTGGCAAGGTAAGGGGCTAAAGTTTCTTTAAAGAATGGCGACAGACATTAAGAATAATGTTTTATTTCTTGGAACAGTATTATACAACTTGATTCCTTTAAACTGGATCCTACCTATGTTGAGCAAAAAGGAGCCCTGCCATTTTATAAATGGTAAAATATTTCGTACTGTGCTTTTTCCTTTGATCAATAGTGGGGTTGCGCACAGAAGCTATGGCTGCTGTTTCCAATATGACTTCTTTTGTCCTTCATTTTCATTCAAGTGCCACATGAATGAAGCCACACATTCAAATGAAATTGATATGAAGGACCTCTGTGTTAATATTTGTGTAATGCTGGTAGTGGCACCCAAATGCAACCTTGTACTGGAGAAGTGGCCAGCAGCCGTTGATATGATTCTAATTTGGGATTTGGGCATCTCTCCCATTCTTTCCATTCTACATTAAAGAAAGTTTATTTTAAACTCTTGCCTTTTTCTCTTTGAAGCCAGTAAGTCCCCTAAAGCACTAACATAAGAATAGATCACATTTAGAATTAGTTTTTACTGACTGAATGCAGCAAGGCTGGTGCTGGCTATATTCAGTCAATCATAGTCTTTCAATGGAAGCTTCAGACAGCCATTAAATCTAGTATTTGAATTTGGGATTTATTTGGGAATGTTGGGACTTAACAACCTCCGTACTTAGCATTGCACTGGCTTGGAACCTGTCATACCACTGTACTCATTTGGATCAGTAGGCAAAGATTTTTGGCTTGACAACAGTATCTTGTTCAGTGAAAATACCAGTTATGAAGCTAAAGCGTATAAAATGTGAAGGAGCACACGCAAATGCATCAGAACAAGACAAAAATCTTTGTTCTTCGATGGGATGTAGATGTCCCTGGCAAAGCCAGGACTTACTGTCTAGCCCTAACTATGATTGAACTGAATGGTTCACTTGGCCATTTCAGGGGACAGGTAAAAGTCAATTACATTGCTGTAGGTCTAGAGTCACACAGAATTCAAACCAATTAAGGGTGGCAGACTTCCCTCAAGGACGGTAGTGAACCAGATGGATTTTTACAACAATAAATGCTAGCTTCATTGTCACCATTACTGAGAGCAGCTTGATCTTATTGCCTGACAGCTCCATAAGGAGTGCCGACAGAGACTTAAGACATATCTGCAGTTGGGCTTCTCTCTTGCTGCTGTACAGCTTTAAGTTATGAATAAGGGGAAGGTCCAAAACTAGTGAGAGCTCTTTGATATGTTGGCTACCTAAGCCCCTCTGGTGATACCTTAGGAGATAAAATTTAACTCTCCTATATTAATGATCTAATTTCTGATGCCAACTGTTCTAGATGGGGGACAAGAAAAGGTATTCACCCTACTTTTCCTCAGCATCAAGCTCTGTCTTCAAGTATAACTGTTTTGAATCCCTACTAAAATTTGTGTTTGGGATAAATTTCCAGGCCGTTTTTCATCCAATGACTAACTTTATTATCAGATCTCTGACAATGGCCTTGAAATTATCACTTTTTCAGAGAGGCTTTCAACAATCTCATCTAGGCACCTGGCATTACATTCTCTAAATCTTATCAAGTATCCAAGATGCACTCATAAAGCAATGCCCATCTGCCAAAATCATTACAATCTATGATATCCTTGATCCTATGTCAGTTTTACAAGCAGAGGCCAGTGGCACAGCATGTGTCTGAAAATGTTTTAGTCCATTGTGCTTGCCCACAACCGAAGTCAGCTATGATTTCCTCGTTGTTTATTTCCTTTTTCAGGTTGTATACTTCACTGCTACCTTTCCCTATGTGATGCTTTCCATTCTTCTAATCAGAGGATTAACATTGCCAGGTGCTGCTGAAGGAGTTAAGTTCTATTTGTCCCCTGATATTTCCAGGCTAGCTGACCCTCAGGTAAAAGGTCCAAAAACATGTCATTATTATTTACTTACTTGTAGAAGCTTGCTGTGTACAAATTGACTGTGTTTCCTATGTTATAACAATGACTGTATTTCAAAAATTGGCTGTCAAGTTCTTTGAGATATCTGGCACTTGTGAATATATTCTGTGTTGTTGGCTTGTAGAAGTTTTAATGACTCATGAAGACTGCTAACCATAAAACACTCTAATTTTATTATACCATCATTACAGGTAGGGGAAATGTCTCTTACATTAACTTCTTTCCATGGTACTTCCTCTCAGCGTCCCAGATCAAATGATTGTATGTTTCAATAAAAACCAAAAGAACTGCAGATACTGTAAATCAGGAGCAAAAACAGAAGTTGCTGGAAAAGCTCAGCAGGTCTGGCAGCATCTGTGAAGAGAAAATCAGAGTTAACATTTTGGGTCCGGTGACCCTTCCACAGAACTATGTCTCTTTTTGGCAAGAATCAGAGACTATTGCAGTTAACACTTTATGGCAATTTGTCTATCATACTCCATTGTGCATCTTCACCAAGTCTCTGTTCATACTTCATTGTTCTGTAACATTCTGGAAACCCATTGCATCACTTTCTTGGTGTTTCTGTACATTTTTAGTGTTTTGAAGTCTCTTTTTGCTCTCTTAGGTAAATGTCATTTTATTCTCTCTTTTTCATATTCTCTTGTTCTTTCTTCTCTTTATCCTCCTTTTTTTTAAAGTCCTGTACCACTTAAGTGTTTGTGGCTTGTTGACTAATCTGTTGTACCTCTCACTTTAGTATGTAGAGAATAAAGCATTCTTATTCTGTTGTTGGTTCTCTGGACTCTATTGAACAGGATTCAAACTGGAATCATCTGCTTCAACGTCTTCTTTCTTTCCTGCTTATTCCATCAATTCTGATTTCCACTTTTCTGGTCACTTGTAACAAAGCTCTTCTTTTTTTTTTGCACTGCGTTATGCTGCCTTGACAATATAAAATCTTAGGTGTGATGATTTCTGCACCCTTTCTCCAAAGCTGGATTGATCTCTGTCCCAAACCTGTTCTCCCTGTTGAAAATTTGATTATTTCAATGTTCTTATTCTGTGGTGACTACCAATTTTCCATCTGCTTACTTTCCTCTCTTTCTTGTACTTTTTCTAAGTCAGTGTCTTTGACTTGTGGCATTGATATATATTGAAGGGTTGGAATCTGTTTTTGAAAATTTCTTCCTATGATTACCTTGCAAAGGTGAGGATCTGTAACTCAAGAACACTAGTTAGGAATGCATTTTTTAATGCACTTATAGTTCTGACCTCTGTTTCAGATTAGCTTCCATTAGCTACAATGAATGCATGTGAACAAATCCAAATAATTCTGTAAACTTTGAAACTCTATATTTACTAATTATTGGCTGTTATCTGATGCTACAATATTAGAAAAAGAACAAATTTCTTTCAATGACTTTATCACTGCTTTGCATATGTGACCATCCAATTGTTTCATCTTAATCCACCTCAACTAGTAATCTACATCTATTGTGAACATGTTCCCTTTGTGCTCAATTAAATCCATTTTGAGGGGCTCCCATGGTCTTGGAGGAAATGTTAGTTATATTAATGGTTCTTTTGATTTCTGTCTCTGAATTATATGTGCAAGGTGCACAGCTATCATTTTTTCCAATGACTTCAACAGACCTAACCTCTAAACTAAATACCATGCTTTAAATCTGTGCACAGTAATGTTAATGACCTTTATGTATTGCAAGATTTAAAGTGTCAATTCTTTAGAATAATAATTCCATCATTGCCTACCAGTAAATTCTCAATCACTATCAGATGGAGTTTTACTCAAAATATGGTCTCAGGTTAGCATTACGTTGTATTTATGTTGGCCATTCTTTAGTACGAAGTTCTCAATGTGCTTACATTCCTCCTCTGTTATTTGTGCTTCTTTGATTTCATTCAATCTTAACATAGTTTCTGCTAATGTATGGTCTGTCATTGTAGTAAACTCCTCAACTTCTTTCACAAATTCAACATTAAGACGGAGGATCCCAAAAATGCAATGCTTGAAGATATTTTTGCTATGTTCAGCTCAATACACATTCTTATGGAACCATGTGGCTGTTTTAAGGATGAAATGACTCCAAATCTGATCAATGCTTTGATTTCCTTCTTGACCTCTGGAAGGAAAGGGTCTGGAACCCTTCTGGGTTTGTTGGTTTACAATCTAAGCTTAGTGTTATACAATGAAACGTTTTAGCTTTTCCAATTATGTCAGAATTTTGTATTTTATTTCCTGAAATCTCTTTATTGGCCTTCAACTTTCTTTACTTCTATTCTGAAAATTAGATTTAATTCCTTACATCCCTTTTTGCTTAAGATTGAACAACTCTCGTCTTTAATTTTGCCACTATATTTTGGCACTGCTTTCTCTGTAGCTGTTGTAAAGTTGCTATACTCCCAGAAGACCACCAGGCTCCTCTTTCATTAGAGAGAGAGAGAGATGACTGGTGGTAGCTTAACCTATGTGGGTCTGTTAGCTTTGAAAACAAAAAATGCTGGAAATCACAGTGGGTTAGCACTGATAAAGAGTCATCTAGACTCAAAACGTTAGCTTGCTTTCCCTCCACAGCTGCTGCCTGACATGTTGTGATCTCCAGCATTATTTGTTTTCAGTACAGATTCCAGCACCTGCAGTAATTTGTCCTACATTGGGTCTGTTAGCTTAGTTGGGTGGTTTGAGATAGAGTGATGCCAAAAGCATTGTGTTCAGTTTCTGTACTACCCAAAGTCAGCATAAAGGTCTTACCTTCTCAACTCCTCTGCTTGCCTGAGGCTTGAGACCCTCAAGTTAAAAGCATCACCAGTCACAACTCTCTCTCTCTCTCTCTAATAAGACATCAAGCCTACAGTCCTCTGAGACTGTGATTTTCCAAGAATCTTCAACTCAGATGCATAAAGAACTGTCTCTTTTAATTACAATTCAGCATCTGGGAAAAGCTAAAACTGCTGCTCCAGAATTTAATTTAATGTGAGTCCTGTGTCATTTTCATAGGGTCTGTGCACTGTAATAATTTTCCACTTCACTGTAGGAGAATTTGAAGAAGTTTCTCAATATCATTTGAATCTTTGACTTCATGAACTCTTTTTCCCTCTTAAACCTTGTTTTTGAATGTTCTGCCCATTCTTCTTCTGTATAAACTCTTCTTTACATCACTGCCATCGTGTGTCTTTGGTGGGATAATTTTCCAAAAGAAGTTGGGTTGTCACTAAAAATTGCTTTTTGTCCAGAATATGTCTCCTCCTCTCTACATTTTGTTATTTTTTATGTTTGACAAGGTCAAATGTGTGTGTTAATTCTAAAATTTGTACTGTCTTCCTCTATCCTCCAACTACCAACCTGTTCTGCCTCCTGATCACAACTTGCCTATTTAATTCATAAAATTGTAGAATTATAGAATCCCTACTATGTGGAAAGAGGCATCCAGCCCATTTAATCTGTACCGACCAGCCAAAGGAGATCCCAAACAGACTGAGCCCCCATCCCTATCCCTGTAACTCCACATATACAATGGGATAATCCACTTGACACGCACATCTCTGAATGCTACAAACAAAATTGATTTGTACTTGCTAGTTTTAAGTCTTCTTACATCTTCTTGGAACTGCAAACTATCAGGAAATATATAATCCATTACATTAACCATTATTTCATTGCAAATTATCTCGCTTTCAAATTACTATACTCTCAGTTTTCTGCTAATCTGCGCAAATCATTAATAAATACATTGATACTTACCCCATGTCTCTGAGTACATTATTTGAATTTTGCATTATTGTGATCGTGTCCTTGCTGAGTTTGACATGTGTCTCCAAGACATCAATACCTTTGGTAAATGATACTTTATACTCATCAATTCCCAGGATCGAAACTGAAATGATTTGAGCACAACAGTCCCTTATTGACTACAAAAGTGGACTGACCTGTTCACAATCTGTTTTTGCTGCAAGACCCAAAAATTGAGTGGATCCCTTGTACCACTTTGGTCATGCTTCTCCCTGATTCAGGTTTGCAACTTTCTGGAAACTCTACATTAGAGGTATTGATTTACCCATCACTGCTTACCACCATATACTGATGTGTTGTTTTGGATCAGAGCAGTTTCAATAACTTCTCAAGATTCCTAGCTATCCATAAAACACTCTTACATCATTGAGATCTATTTACAGTTACGAGAACACTCTCTTAAACGAGCTTTCTCTCATGTTACTTTCTCTAAGACGCTTAGATCATGTGACTGTAAGTCTCTTGTATGAAATCATACACAGTTATCATGAACATGTTGTGGGACTTATTTAACACCCTCCATCATACTATAATGCAAAATTCGTATCTGAAGTAAAGTTGCTGCACTTGCTGTATTTTTTCACATTACTTGATGTGATGTTATAACGTGGGCTAAATGATACGTGGAATAAACCTTTTGTGGTCCAGCAACCATGGGCCCAAAATTGAATATTCTAAGTTGATGCACAGCCGGAGAAATCAAGCCTGACAGAAAATTGGCCAAACTAAATTAAACAGCAGCCAGCAACTATTGGCTACAGAGAGCAGAGCATCAGCTCCACTAAAAGTTGGTGACAAATTGTTTACTTCCACCAGTGGTTTCATCCCAGCTTTCAACCTTTAGCTCAAGCTGACTAAGGTGTATCCAACTTCATTGTCCTGTTGAACTTTAAGCTAGTCTTTGAATGCCATAATCCTCTCCAATATAAAACTGTTCATTTAAGCCTTTTTAGGTGGAACAAACATTAAGCAGGGAGATGTCCACAGTGCATTAATCAGGCAAATACAGATTAAAATATTTGTAACTGAAAGAGATAACAGCCATGAAATTCTACCGAGAAACCCATTGATTCTTTTAAAGCCTCAAGGCAACTCTCACCAGTTGGGGTCCCATTTCAACTTTACAGTCCTGTAAAGAAGGCACTCAAGCTACAGTAGTAAAAGGCCATCGGTCCCAGAAGGGATGGATCATCTATCCTAAGCAGCCAACATGTCTAGTTTTTTTTTACACTTGGGAGCTGACTTTCTAATATTAGAACAGCAGCACAATTATCAGATCATTCATGAAAGTTGACTGAAACACTTTAGTTAACATGACTCACCAGCCCACATACTGAACTGATCATATCCCCGTTTAACCTGTGAAAATCTGAAAACCTAACCATCATGAATCACTGAATGTAGTAGACTATGTAGAGTTTGTTCTTGATTTTTGGACAATAGAATGACTGTTTGAGTCAAAGATGAGAGAAAAGTTTGCTTATTATTTGCCAGTTCTTGCATTGAACTCAGATGTCATGACTGCTGTGAAACTTATTAATGCCAGAAATGTTTTCTCGCTGCACTGTTGAATTGGTTTAAGAGACAATTTTATTTGTATGTGTAAATGAGACTAGTATTTGTTAAGTATATGTTCACTTCTTGTCATCTTCAGGTATGGATGGATGCTGGTACCCAGATCTTGTTTAGCTTTGCTGTCTGTTTGGGTTGCCTCATTGCTTTGGGAAGCTACAATGACTTCAATAATAACTGTTATAGGTATGATACTATTCACGTAATATCATTTTCTATCATCCTCTAATGTTTCTTTAGCTTGGAATATAATGAAGATTAATTCCACTTCAGTGTTCCACATCTAGGACAATCTCCAATATCTCTGAGTTAATGTTGTGAAAATAGAATTTATTTTCATTCATAATTTCATTCTTACCACCAAGTTATGGTTAACTGATTTTATTCCTTTTCCTTAGAGATTGTTTGTTCATGAGTGCCTTGAATAGTGGAACCAGCTTCATATCTGGATTTGCCATCTTTTCTGTCCTGGGATTTATGGCACTTGAAGAAGGAGTGCCCATTTCCAATGTGGCTATGTCTGGTAGGGCAAATTCCCTTTTAAAATTCAGCATTAAAGTGATGTTTTTGAGCTTTATTTGACTTAGGAGTGAGAATACTAGAGAGTAATAACGGAGCAATAACATTTAAAAATAAGACGGCCATGTGCGCTCCAAGAGTATGTGGCTAAAGCAACATCTTCCTGTTTGGTTTCAAATTATCCAAACTTTTGGATGGAGCTAGATCTAGATGGTCAAAACTACAAAGAGGCAAGAATCTTATTCATATATTCAAGCTGGGGTCAAGGATCCAATGCTATTTTGAAATCTATGTGCCCTGCTGTCAAGACCAGGAGCTTCAGCCAGGCTCAGAAAATCCACAGCAAGTTTCAAAAGACATCTTACTTGTGTGGTTGGACCTTTCACAGCAGGTGATGATGGTGAGTGAGAGAGTTCAATGCAAGGAAATTTGTTAGCTCAGCCAGAAGAGCAATGAGGTGAGGAAAAACAGACCAAAGACAAGAAGTCCAGGAGCTATGAATAGTGCAGCTGGAAGCTTCTGATAGTGGCCAGAGAATCAGCAATGGGAAGTAGAGCAGGCAGTTATTAGAAACTTAGACAGACTGAGCGGCAGCACTTTTAGGTCTGGGAAGCCTGGTGAAGAAAGAAAGGCAGGGCTGCAGCAACAGTCTGAGACTGGTAAGTCAAAGAGCCAAGGCCACAAACATTGCAGAGCCAATAACAGTGGTCAGAGAACTGAGAAATATAGTGGAGAAAGCAAAAAGCTGCAAGATAATTAGGTGGTTCTGGCCAAAGCCTTTAATTTCAAGAGGCCAAGAGAAGAAGATCCTATTTGTCTGGTAGACAAGATAATTTTTATGATATAGTTACTGGGAGTTAGCAGTAGGAACTCTACTAACTGATTAGATATAAAGAGTTAATCTTTACAGTATTATGGTGGACCTGCATCATACAAATTGTAAATAGTTTATTCCACTAAGCTACACGTTTCTATTAATTCTTATAAAGCTTTATTGCCATGGAACAAATAAACCCATATAGTGCATGTTTTTAATTTGCCTGTTATACTTGTATTAGATTATTTGTTGCTATTTAAATGATAACAAAGTGCTGTTAGTTGGTTAGACTGTAGACTCTAGATTCAGTGACATTATCACTACATCACCATCTACCTTTACCCTAATGCTTCTGTAAGGCTCTTTGAGTGTCTGCAGCATGTGAGGTAGAGGGCATCTATGGCTTAATTAGGGACTTTGAAGTTGCCCATGATCAGAGTCCAGTAATAACTGTTAGAGCTAAATTGGCATTCATTGCAAATCATGGATCCAGGGATCACAAAGGTTCAAATGTGCTGTCATCCTGAGAATTGGTCTCATGTTCAATCATTAGTGTGCAAATCTCTCCATTACCAAGTATAACAGGCAAATTAAATACGTGCACTGCATGAAGATTACAAACCAGGAATACTTTATTGCCTGACAATGAATTTTCAGAAACATTAATGAAGAAGTGTAACTGTAAAAGTGAAGATCATTCTTATGCGATGATATTCATCCAATGTTACAGGTCCACCAGGATACCATTGCAGAAATTGCTCTTGATTTCTAATCGGTAATTTCCCTATTCATCTCTGGGAGGACAGACTATAGGATATCCTGCGTTTGACCAAAGGTCTATGAAATCACTCTTTCCTGACGTGCAATGAGGAAGGGTTCGTTGAACCCTGACCTCTCGTGACCTCAGTATGTATAATCTAAGGGCCAGACCATTACAGATACCACAGACTCCTGCAGGCAAGAACCATCTGCAGTGACCATTGAAATGACCACTTTGTGGTTGTCTGTAGTTGATACTATTGCTTAGACTGTAGTTAGCTCATATAAGTTTTATAAGTCACCTATACACTATGATGTAGAACTCCCCTAGCAGATAGTCAAATGCATTCATGATTGCTGATGTACATAAATCACTTCTCTTTTAAAGGCTAAGCAACCACTGATATCTAACCTCATCAGCTGAGCTATGAAATGGCCTTCTACTAAGCTATTTCTTGAACATTCCTCTCTACCTCCAAATGTGTTCAGTGAATCACCCAATGCAGACTTTATTATCTTATTTTTGATGTAATAAAAAGGGTCCTAACAAGGGTAAAGATAGGGCAATCAAAACCAAAACTCTCTGAATATTGAAAGAGAGAATAAGATGAGGCAGATGGAAAAGGGCACAGGACAATTGTCGGGTTGGTGATACAGTACAAGTGAGTGCTAGGCTGAATATAGGAAGTTCAGGGCACAAGTGAAAAAGAAAGCAGAGAGGCAGTGGGAGAATCTGAGAAACGGCAGTGAGTGAACATAAAAGGAACCCAATATCTTCTTTATACATATAAATAGTAAGAAGAGTAGAAAGCAAGATGCAGACGGTGGAGGGAGTGCAATTACTGATCAAATCTGCACATGGGCATATTGGTCCTGGCTGAGGAGCTAAACAAATACTTCTGTCTGCTTTTCAAGCAGATGTCACACAATCATAGTGAAATAGATGGCTGAGATACTACAAGTTGATAAATGGACATATTAAAATGGTTGGCTGTACTGAAAATTAATAAATCACAAGAGCCAGATTAGCTGAATCTGAGGGTGCTGAGGAATGTAAGTTGTAAATTGCAGAGGTACTGCTCATAATTTTCCATTACTCCTCAGATACTGCAGTTCTCAAAGAGCTAGAGAATTGCAAATATTATATCATTATTCAACAAAGGATGTAAAGATAAACCTACAAAAGTAGACCGATCAATTTAACTCTCATGGTAGGAAAGTATAAAGTCATGATAATTGTTATGATATGCATGTATCTTTATATCTACCTAAGCTGCATAGTTAGATGATGAGAATAACCAATCTTTCAACAATTAGCATGGGATCATCAAAGCATGGATTAGCACAGTAGTACAAAAAGAAGCCTTTGCCACAGTCCAGGTTGTACAGCATAGATTGTATGAAAGAGTCAGCATAACATATATGACAAACTGTATTCAGGTACAGGTGCAAACGTCTTTCCATTTTGTGCACTGAAATATGTATACCCACAAAATGACAGCTGACCTACTAATGTTGAACTCATTGCACTCAATGACTTGAAGATTTCAATTCTCGGATATATTTCACTTTTCTTGCTTCAAAGAGTCACCTGGTTATGCCAGGTATTTTATATTGTGGATACAGTGGCTCCAGTAATCACGGATGTATCAGTGTGCATGATCATATTCGGAAGAAGAGTCACTGAACTCGTAACATTCACTTTATTTTCTCTCCATAGATGCTGCTAGACCTGCTGAGTTTCTCCAGCAGTTACAGTTTTTGTTTGGTCTACCTGTGGTATCAAGATAACAATGAGAACAAGAAACATTAGGAACAACCATCAGAAACCTTGTACTTACACTGTGAGGAGATCACCTAACTCTCTAACACAGGGCATCAGCCAATAGGCAGCACAACTTTGAACCATTATGTATATCCATTGCACTTCAGAAGCAAAGTGGAATTATTATTCAGTAGACAAGTGGAAACCTGCCCTGCTAACAACCATTGATACTCCCAGGAGTACATTAAGCGCTACTCAAAAAGATTAACAATTCCTGTGATTGACTTGGAGACAGTAAGGATTGCAGATGCTGGAAGCTTGAGTCACTAAATGTAGAGCTGGAAAAGCACAGCAGGTCATACAGCATCCAAGGAACAGGAAAGTCAACATTTTGATTCAAAATCTTGATTTTCCTGCTGCTCAGATGCTGTCTGACCTGCTGTGCTTTTTCAGCTCCACACTTATTGCCGCTGTGATTGGCTTGCTAGAAACCGATTATCCAAGCTGAATCAAACTCCACTTCCGAGGAAGGATCACTGGACCTAAAACATTAACTCTGATATCTTTCCACAGATGTTGCCAGACCTGCTGAATTCTTCCAGCAATTTCTGTTTTTGTTTCTGATTGCCAGCATCCGCAGTTCTTTCAGTTTTACTTGAGCTGAATGTTGGACAGAATGTTGGTTTTCAACACCTGACTGATGGCACATGGAATCCAGTAACAATTGCTGATGTGCTTAAAACCAAGATCTTAGGAAGCATCAAATGACGTTGTAGTATGATGAAAGAGAAGGAGACCACAACCGGAAAGACCGTTTATGTTTTCTAATGACTGCATCATGCTCTAAGATGTAACGTAAAAGAACACTGTTCCAAAAATATGTAGCTGCCTTCAGCAAAGATCACCTAAATTAAAGCTGGGTGATAAGCAGACTGTCAGCATGTTTCCAAGACGTGAAAAACTGAATGTAAAATGAAACAAAAGAAAACTGCAGATGCTGGATATCTGAAAACAAAAACAGAAATTGCTGGAGAAACTCAACAGGTTTGGCAGGATCTCCAAATATCATTGCATTCAGGAGAGGTACCAGAAGGTTGGAAAATTTATTATTGTGACACTGCTATTCAAAAAGGGAGGTAAGTGGAAAACAGGTAACTATAGGCCTATTAGTCTAACATCTGTTGTGGAAAAGTATTGGAATCAATCATTAAGGAAGTACAAGCAGCACATTTGGAAAATCATAATCTAATCAAGCAGAGTAGGCATGGCTTCATGGAAGGGAAATCGTATCTGACTAATTTTGAGTTTTTTTGAGAAAGTCTCAACCAAAGTTGATAGAGGGAATCAGTAGATGTGTTGTATTTGGACTTCCAGAAGCTGTTTGACAAGGTACCTCACAAAAAATTAATTTATAAGCTAAGAGCCCACAGTGTTGGAGATAGTATATTGGTGTGGATAGAGAATTGGCTCATTGGCGGGAAATTGCAAGTGGGGATAAAGGATTCTTTTTCAGTTTGGCGACTGATGGAATTTAATTTAGATAACTGCGAGGTGCTACGTTTTGGTAAGACAAACCAGGGCAGGACTTACACAGTTAATAGTAGAGGCCTGGGAGTGTTGTTGACTGGAGAGATCTAGGAGTTCAGGTACATAGTTCCTTGAAAGTCACGTCACAGATAGTCAGGGTGGTGGAGATGATGTTTGGCATGCTTGCCTTCATTGGTCAGAGCATTGAGTATAGGAGTTGGGGTGTCATGTTGCGGCTGTACAGGACATTGGTAAAGCCACTTTTGGAGTACTGCATACTGGTCTGGCCACTCTGTTATAGGAAGGATATTATTAAATTGGAAAATATGCAGAAAAGATTTATAAGGATTTTGCTGGGACTAGAGAGTTTGAGTTCTAAGGAGAGGCTGGGTTAGCTGAGACATTTTTCCCTGAAGCTTAGGGGGTTGAGGGGTGACCTTGTAGAGGTTTATAAAATCATGAGGGACATAGTCAAGGTAAATATCAAAGGTCTTTTCCCTATGGCAAGGGAAGTCAAAACCCTCGGGCATAGTTTTAACGTGAGAGGAGAAAGATATAAAAGGAACCTGAGCGACAACTTTTTCACACGGAGGGTGATGCATTTGTGGAATGAACTGCCAGTGGAAGTGGTAGATGCAGGTACTGTTATAACGTTTAAAAGACATTTGGATATGTACACGAACAGGAAAAGTTTAGAAGGATATGGGCCGAACACAATCAAATGGGATTAGTTTAGTTTGGGAAAAACTGGTCGGCATGGTCAAGTAGGACCAAAGGGTCTGTTTCCGCGCTGTGTGGCTCTGACACATGACCAATGGGGTTCCAGAGGGATCAGTGCTGGCAATGTTGGCAAATAAAGTATAGTTTGGGAATATGTGAAGTTGTTCATTTTGGAAGGGAAAGTCAAAGAACAGAATATTAATTTAATAGAGAAAAGCTGAAGAAATTTGCAATGCAAAGCGAACTTAGGGTACTTTGCATGAAACACAAAAGTAACACACAGGTTCAGCAGGTAATCAGAATTAGAATTAGCATTAGATTTTATTGTCACGTGTACTGAAGTATAGGAACACAGGAATACAGTGAGAAGTGCACAATGTTGCCATTCTCCGGCATCATGAAGTTCCTCTCGAGACTCCAGGCTGTGGCTTGGCCCGGGTGTCTGCATGGAGGTAAGACTGAAATTAGACGTTAATATCTGGATGTTTCTCATTCCTTTTGGTGTTGTTTCCTTTATTTCTGCTTTTTTAAAATTACACATTTGTAGTCAAATGTGTAACTAATCAGGGAGGCTAATGAAATATTGGCTTTTATTTCAAGGTGGTTAGAGTATGAGGGTAGGGAAGTCTTACTGCAACTGTACAAGATGCTGGTGAGGCCACACCTGGAGTACAGTAAGCAGTTCTGGTCCCCTTAATTAGGGAAGATATAATTTCATTGGAGGCAGTTCAGAGAAAGTTCACGAGGATAATCTCTCGTCTAAAGAGATTATTTTATGAACAAAGGCTAAACTGGTTGGGACTCTACTTACTGGAATTTAGAAGAATGAGAGGTGATCTAATTGAAACATATAGGAATCTTAAGAGGCTTGACAGGGTAAATGCAAAGAGGACCAGAGGGCATTGTCTCAAAATAAAGGGCCACCAATTTAATATTGAGATGCTGAAGAACTTCTTCTCTGAGGGTTGTAGGTTTTTGGAACTCCTTGTCACAGGGAGCTATAGGGACAGATTCCTTGTGTATATTTAAGGTTGAGATATATTTTTGATTGGTAGGGGTATCAAGGGTTAGAGGGAAATGGCAGGAAAGTGAATATCAGATTGGCCATGATCCTATTGAATAGTGGAGGTTTGAGGGGCTGAGCAGCCTACTCTTGTTCTTATTTCTTATGGCCTTATCTATAGAGAGAGGAACAGAGTTTACTTTGCGATTCCAGTGACCCTTCTTCAGACTCCAGAATCTCTAAAACTAACACTTTCTCCCTCCACAGATCTTCACAGGCTTGCTGAGTTTTTCCAGCAATTTTTGTTGATGTTTGTAAATTTATTGCAATGTGTTAAAATACATGAAAACACAATGTTGCTTATCTTGTAATTAGTTTGATTCTTTAAGGCTAAACTTTTTGTCTAGAAAACAAGAGGGGATGTTGTGACATGATGTCACTTTACTTTTTAAGGAAGGATTCTTTAAACTACTGTCAATCAGTACCTGCCTCAATAGGATATTTGTATTAGTCCTTGACTTGATGGGCAGTCGGATATGTGCAAGATGTACTTAACTCCCTGCATATACTAACCGTATATATCCTTATCTTCAAATTAAGAACCCATATTACTATTTCACAATCCTCATTATGTCTAAAAGGAGGTTATAACAATAATCAGGGATACAATTAACTGTTAATTGCATAAGTATGGATTAATCAGGGAACGGCAGCACAAATGAATTAATAGAAATAGTAAATGAAACTAATATGTTTGATGTCTTTTTCATGATAGAATCCCAAAAATATTTTATAAAGTTGTATACAATAGATCTTCTAGCAAAGTTAAAACCCGTGGAATTAAAGTGAAAGTGGTACCATGGGTATAAAGCCAGCTGAGGGTCAGGGGCTGATGGTTGTTTCTCAGACACACAGTTGTTAAATGGTGGAGTTCCATGGGGATCAGTACTATGATCACTGCTTTTTTAAATATATATTAGTGACGTAGACCTGGATGTGTAGGGCAAAATTTGCAAATGATGCAGAACTCAGAGGCATTGTGAATTAGGAAGAGGATAGTGATAATCTTCAGAAGGACTTAAGCAGGGCTGGTGGACCAGGTGGACGTGTGCCAGGTGAAGTTCTGAGCGCATGGGATGGAGTACCACATTTAGTAAGAAAAATGAGGGGAGAACGGAACAGAGACACCTGGCTTAAATATGCACAAAGTTTCGAAGTTGGCAAGGCTACTTAAGAATGTCATTAAAATGGCAAATGGGATCCTTCGCTTTATGAAGAGAGCCAGAGTACAAAAGCAGATAAATCATTACAAACCTCTAGTTTTTTTATCATCTGGAATATAGTGTCCAATTGTGGAATTCCTCGAGAACAATGTAAACAGTTACAGAGCCAAAGCCTGAGAATGGATTTAAGATGCATTTCAACCATTATTTTATTGGGTGGTGAAACAGACCTAAGGAACCAAATGTCTTACATCTGTTTCTGTGTGCTTATGTATTTTATTCTTATTAAATTTTGCTTTTTTTTCTAACTTCTTTTTCTTGTAGGTCCTGGTCTAGCTTTCATTGTCTATCCAAAGGCAATTACATTGATACCTTTCCCTCAGCTCTGGGCCTGTTTGTTCTTTATCATGCTTATTCTCCTGGGTCTGGACAGTCAGGTACTGCTTAAAAAGAAGTAAGGTTCAACTAAAGTCTGCTTTGTCTTTCCCTAATCAGGGAGGGTTTTAGACTGTGTTTATGAATATGACTTTTTTAATGACAGTTCACTTTACAACTTTTCAAAATGACTCTCAATATTTATTATTTGAACTGATTAAAATAAAGTTTTAAAAAGGTTACTTTTCAGACATTCTGCTAACAACAATTAATAATGTTAACTTGTTTAATATTTGATGACACTGACCTTTGTATGTATTTCAGGCATTCTTGATCCTCTTCACAGTCCAAGTACTGGGATAGACTGGTGCAGGGAGCAGTTGGAGGTCAGGGGTGCAAGGTTGAGTGTTCAGGCCAAAAGTGAGGGAGATTAGAGGTTAGGCTTAGAAGGATGGTGAAACAGCAAGGAAGATTGAGTTTGAGGTTGTGAAGTTGGAGGTGCCAGAAATTGAAGATATCAGGATATGAAAACTGAAATCTGGGTTTGCTCTCTCTACAGGAGAGAGAGCCAATGTGTTTTGCTAGAGTAAATGGTAGGGTTGGTGCCCAAAGGACTCAGATTTAAGATAAATGGCAGAGGAACAAGATGATGATGAGAATGTTTTCACAGTGTGGGATGTGATGAACTGAAATGCATTATGTGAAACTGAAGTTGAACCAAATTCAGTGAAGAATTTTAACATTGAATTAGTTATTAAAACTGAAAAGGATCATCTGCAGGATTATGGGGACAGAGTGGCGTGAAGAGATTTGAACAGCAAGTTGGTATAGACACAATAGATTGGAGTTCTTATATGCTGTAAGACTCTCGGAATCAAAAAGATATTCAATAACTAATTCTAAATTCTTACCTTTAGAGAACAGAATTTATCTAATGCTTAAAATTTTGTTTTGTTCAGCTTTCTGCTTGGTAATTAGTCCCTGTTTTAGTTTGTAGGTATAGAAAGTCTGACAACAGCGATAATAGATATGTTTCCTGAGATTTCCCAAAGAAAATATTCCAGGATGATAATTATCATGGGCATCTCAACCTTTTCATTCACTATTGGGCTATTAATGCTGACAGAGGTGAGAAGTTGTTTTCATAAACGTTTTGAAAACATTGAGATTGAGCTTGTACACAATCGCAATGCGTCTGCTCGGGTAACAAATAGCAGCTTGAAGGTTCAAAGCTAGAACTCACTGTCACATTAGTTCCTTTCGAAACCACATATTGTAAATACAGCAGTATGTTGGTCAAATTTGCAGCAAGGAAATTTGGTCAGATTTCTACAGGTCTTCTTCCATGAGTCTGGGATTTTGGCTGTGCCTCTCACCAGGATAGAGGCTACAAACAGCACCCCTGTTTCTGCGTCGGGGACCTGACCGTCTGACCGCCACCCCTCCTCCATGTTAGAGACCCTGACCGGCCCCCCTCCTCCGTGTAGGGAAACCTAACCGGTCCCTCTCCTTTTCCATGTTGGGGTCCCTGACCGCACCCCCATCCTCCTCCAGGTTGGAGACCCTCACCGCACCCCCTTCTCCGTTTCGGGGACCCTGAAAGGCCCCAGCTTCATGTCAGGGATTCTGACTGGCCCTCCTACTAAAGTGCAGGATGAAGGTATGTTCTTCTGTTCTTAAATGTTTTCTGACTTGAAGATCACAGTGAAGTTTTAATTTCTGTGTTTGTTGGAAAGCACAAAAATGTCTACGAATAAAAATTCCAAATGTTACTCCACCAGCACTTAAGAAGGTTCAGTAAGCATTTTAATTTGTTTTATACTTTTTAGGAAGTAATAATTAATTTGAATTTAGTTCAGAAGTATGGCAGTCTTCATGAGACAGTATCCATGATTTTTACTTCTGATTCTCTTCCCTCAGGGTGGGGTATATGTTTTTCAACTTTTTGATACCTACGCAGTTAGTGGGACATCTGTTCTGCTCCTGGCATTGTTTGAAACAACTTGCGTCAGTTGGGTATATGGTACGTATATGACTTTAGACACGTGGCAAAACATTTCAGGCTGGCATCAAAAAATTCCTTTGATTTTGACTGAGAGTGGAGATACTGTGGCCCCAATTTTAATTCCAAGTAGATTTAGGTGGATGGTATATTTATTGAGAATAGCATGTGTCATAAAGACATTTGCTTCCTCAAAAACTCATAACCAATACCAGCGAATCATAACCAATCATAGGATCGCAGCAGTTTGGAAGCGGGCCATTCTGCCTATTGCATCTACACTGACCATCCAAAGAACATCCCACCCAGACCCATACCACCCCACCCCCTGCCCACCCTATCCCTGTAACTCTGCATTTCTCATGGGTAATCTACTTAGCCTGCACATCTCCGGACACCATGGGGCAATTTATCACGGCCAATCCACCCAACCTGCATATCTTTGGACTGTGGGAGGAAACCAGTGCACCCGGAGGAAAGCCACAGAGAATGTGCAAATTTCTCACAGACAGTTGCCCGAGGGTGAAATCAAACCTGGGTCCCTGGCGCTATGAAGCAGCAGTGCTAACCATCGAGTCACCGTGCCACCCTAATGCTGGACCTTTTTGCCCAGGCAGTGACTAAAGTACTGCTGCCTGTTGGTGGAACCTCTGTGCTTTGAGCCCCCAGATATCACTAACCAAGAGCCTGTTAAAGCAACGTTTCAGAAGAGTAATAGAGGAAATAAACTCAGTTTTAAGAATTTGTTTTGTGCTTGTTAAAATTTCTTTGATGGATTGTATTATGTTTGTGGTTCATTGGAACCTTAAATAGAACACAAAGTAGACAGAGGGTAAACATGAAGAGGGAATACTTTATTATGCCTTCTCTCAGCTCCACAGTCAGTCTGAGACTGCCCCTCGAGCTCCGCCTCTGGGTCACCTGACCCACTGTCTCAAAGGGGAAGTGCACACCCAACTCAGTACATACCAAAATAGGTGTAGAATCAATGCAAGTCACGAAACTTTGTATTGTTTATATAAAGTTTCACCAAGGTATGTTACACAAATACATTGTCAACTTTGATATTCATAATTATGGCAATGTTGATTTAAAGTAAAAACAAAAGATAATGGGCTAAAAAATTACATACCTTTAATTGGATTCACATGCATATTCTGTTTCTAATACAGTAGTATTAGTATTGTGACTCTGCAATCCAAAGGAAAGGATCATAAATTGTGTTTAAAAAAAACATTTTCTAGCATTGCTGAAGTCAGGACAGGCATTTGCATTGTGGGTCACATTATGGAATACTGTAACCATATTTAATTTTGTTCATATTAGAATGTTTTCTTTTAGAGCGTTGGTTGTTGTGTTAATACATTTTCAATTGCTAGCATTCTACACTGACTGGCAACGTTTTGCACCTTGATAGCAGATGGCCCTATAGTTTTATTGCATATATGCAGGAATACATCAAGTTTGCACATCCACATCTGCTTACAGTTTATATGAGTGCATGACTTGTGCATTTCTGAATATATCAGCATTCATGTGCAGACTCCTTGGATTCATGCATGTACAGCTTAATGAAGTAATGTAGATGTGTGGTTCTACGTAGAACTTTGGAACAAAGAATGGGAATTCAAAGTGGGGATAGGGTTGTGAGAGCTAAGGGGTCCAGGGCCTATATTATGAGCAAGCAACTGATCAATGGCCTAGAGTACATGGACGGACCTTTTGAAACAGGTTTCCTTAACACTTGGCTGTCTCTGTGGTGTCTGTAATTGGCTGATCTAGTCAAGGTGGGTAGCTCAGGTGGGGAAATTGCAAAATTCACTGCTTCTGTCTCAGGAGAAATTCCCCTAAATGGCAGTATCTTCATTGTATGCGATGTCAGTTGGGTGAAGTCCACCACTCTCAGATGTAGGCTGGAGGCTGCCATTCACTCAGCTTCATTCACTAGCATTCAGACTGGACATTTAAATTTACTGTTCTGTAGCTAACTCAGTAAAAGGGGAGTGTTTCTTGTTTTCTCCTACCTCTACTGCAGTCTAGTGGAGATCTCTGAGGGATGTTGCACCTCACGTTTTTAAGACAACTGGTTTCAGAAGACCCTAGTAGAAATACAGATGATTTGACTCCTCAGAAGATCCAGATTCTGCAAGTTACTGTTGATGTGGTCGCTTCTATATATTAGCCCACCTAACATACCACAGAGACTCATGTTCTGAATGAGACAGATATCTGGAAGTTTATCAACAACTAATTAATATTATATCTCAGACTTGCACAATCTCTGGGCTTCATGCTTACTTACATTAATATTACATTAGATATTTAGTTGACTGGCTGATTAGCTGTATGACTTCTTGTCAGTCCAACTGTGGCTAACAGACTGGCTGACCAATAAACTTACTGTATATAAAGTAGATGAGAACTTTTATATGATATGGCTACATGTCGTGCTGTCATCTAGCCATCTTAAATGTGTAATGCCTCTACAAGATCTTCAATAATGCCACAATTGTAGTGCATATATTGTTAAAGTTTAGGGACTAGAGAGTATGCAGAAAGGAACTTAGCTACTCCTTGTTACAATAAATAACATGTAGACAAATTGCAGTTTCATCATGGATTGCTGATTGTTTCCATTGAGAATTAATCCCTAAGGAAATAGTACAATTTTTATTTTGTCTTAAGGCTTTCAATATTGTTCATCATGGGACTCTATTGGTAAAGATGTAAATTGTGGTTGTAAATTCCCAAACCTTATATTTTGTTTAGGATATGGTCTCCAGTTTTCAAACCCTGTGAAGCTAACAGGCAAATATTCTCTGTTTTATATGACTCGAATTTCAAAATTAATCCATTATGAATTTGAAAAGAAATGTGTTTTGAAAGAAAATTAAATCATTAGAGTACCAGTACATTTTTGTGTCAATACCCATCAGTGAATTCCTTGCTATCGACATCCTAGGGTTATCATTAACTAGGAACTGAACTGCACTCGTCAGGGATGTGATGAAATACTCCCCACTTGACTGGATGAGTGCAGCTGCAACAACACCCTAGAAGCTTGACACCATCCAGGACAAAGCAACTGGCTTGCTTAGCACCATATCCACAAGCATTCTCACAAAAATCTCTCCACAACTTATGCTCAATAACAGCAGTGTGTAACATTTACAAGATGCACTGGAGAAATTCACTAAGGCTCCTTAGACAGCATCTTCCAACCCATGCTACTACCATCTGAGGATGAGGATGCATGCAAATTCCCTTTCAAGCCACTCACCATCCTGACAAGCAAATACGTCACCTTTCTTTCAGTTTCACTGGAACATACACCAGGTGGTTCAAGAAGGCATATTGCCACCCCTCATAAAGGGCAATGAGGGATGGACAGTAAAGGTTAGTCCGTTCAGTGACACACACATCCCATGAGTGAATAAAAACCATTCCAATCATTCTCACTTATCTGGAAATGGGTAGTATGTTTTGTTAAAGTGCGATAACTTCTTCATTTTGACTTAAAAATATTAAGAAGAAGCTTATAGATTTCACATTAGAATAGACATGTTATAGTCAAAGTAACTATACATTGTATTTTACTGTTCAGGTGTCAATCGTATCTATGACAACATTGAGGCAATGATTGGATACAGGCCCTGCTCATACATGAAGTGGTGTTGGTTCATCTTTACTCCTGGCTTCTGCCTTGTAAGCTTCTCATTTCTTCCAATTTTATCCCAAATAGTTATCAAAATAAAAGCATTTCGGGTAAGGTTTCAATTACGTTACAAATCCAGCTGTCTTTTTTCCCACAACGTAATGCATCTAAGACTGTTCTAATAGGTACAAAGGTTTGCGAAATGTAAATACAAATGACCATCCATGTCAAAATGACTTTCTGCAATTGTTTGCACTAGGAATTCATTACAATTCCCATGAGAAATTTTTGTTCTTTCACTACCAATTCCATCCTTCTGCTTTTGCTGATGCACAGTTGGCAGAAGAGTGCATAAGTACTCAGCAAGCCAAGCTTTGAACAGGTTTGGTCTTCTCCAGCATCCTAGGGCAGTGCAGCCAGGGAAAGGCTGCTCAGAGCAATTGGACAAAGCATGCCCAGATGGAAGGTTCCAGCTATTAATGGGCATAACTACCAGATTAGCCAACGATGTTGAAAAACGATTAGGAATTATTAATGAATTCAAATTAAACCATCTTCCATGATGGGATATGAACCTTAGTAGTACAGGATTAATCTGTATCTCTAGATCACTAGTCTAGTAATGTTTTCACAATACTACTATCTATATAAGTCTGCTAATTCCTCCAGTCTGTATATATTTTCCAAAAGTCTTGCTACTGTCTCCCTCGATGTTCATTACGCTTTAAAGTTTTGTCATCTGCAAACCCTACAAAATTTGGATTTAATCGTAATGAGCTGTCAGGAGATCCGTTAACACCAGATTCATCATCCGAGCTCACAAGGTAGTGCAGAACGTCACCCAAACACAACACAATGCCATCCATGCTCTCATGACCAATTGCAACATTGTCATCGAACCAGCAGACAAAGGAGGAGCCATGGTTATACAGAATAGAACAGACTACTGTTTAGAAGCAAACCAACAATTGAACAGCCAGGAACACTACACAGAGCAACATGCTGATCCAACCAAAGAGCACACCTGTCAACTCAACAGACTGATCAAGACCTTCAGAGTATCCTATGCACTCTCATCCCACGTACTTCTCACTTAGGAGACTTCTGCTGCTTTCCAAAGATACACAAAGCCAATACACCTGGATGTCCCATCGCATCAGGAAACTGGACCCTGTGTGAGAACCTCTCTGGCTATGTCGAGGGCATTTTTTAACCCATTGTACAAGAAACCCCCAGCTTCTGTCACGACACTACAGATTTCTTACATAAACTCAGCACGCATAGACCAGTCAAACCAGGAACACTCCTCATCACAATGGACATTTCGGCACTCTACACCAGCATAACCCATGATAATGTCATAGCCACAACAGCCTCCGTAATAACACTGAAAACTGCTAATTTCCAGACGCCATCCTATAACTCATCCACTTCATCCTTAACCACAATGTCTTCACTTTCGACAACCAGTTCTTCATCCAGACACACGGAACAGCCATAGGGATCAAATTTGTACCCCAATGTGCCAACATTTTCACGCACAAGTTTGAGCAAGTCTTCTTTGCTGCACAGGACCCCAACCAATGCTATGCACCAGATACATTGACATTTTCTTCCTTTGGACTCATGATGAGGAATCATTGAAATGACTACACAATGATATCAACAAGTTTAATCCCACCATCAAACTTACCATGGACCACTCTTCAGAATCATTCTTCAACACACACATCTCCATCAAGGACAGACACCTCAGTACCTCACTCTACTGCAAGCCCACGGATAACTTCACAATGCTACATTTCTCTAGCTTCTAACCTAAACATGTTAAAGAAGCCATCCCCTACGGACAAGCCCTGCGTATATCAAGATTTGCTCAGATGAGGAGGAATGCGAGAGACACCTAACAATGCTGAAAGATGCTCTCATAAGAACGGGATATGACACTCAACTCATCGCCAGTTCCAACGTGCGACAGTACAAAACCACAATGACCTCCTCAGAAGACGGACACAGGATACGACTGATAGGGTACCCTTCATTGTCCAGTATTTCCCCAGAGCAGAGAAGCTACACCATGTTCTTCACAGCCTTCAACATATCATCGATGATGACGAATATCTCACCAAGATCATCCCTACTCCTCCACTTCTTGTCTTCAAACAACCACCCAACCTTAAACAGACCATCATTTGCAGCAAACTGCCTAGCCTTCAGGACAACATCAACCACACAACCCTGTCACGGCAACTTCTGCAAGACATACCAGATCATCAATACGGATTCTACCATCTCACGTGGGAGCACCACCCACTACATACACGGCAGGTACTCATGTGACTCAGCCAGTGTTGTCTACTTTATATGCTGCAGGCAAGGATGCCCCAAGGCATGGTATATCGGTGACACCATGCAGACGCTATGACAATGGATGAATGGACACCGTGCAACAATCACCAGATACGGATGTTCCCTCCTAGTCAGGGAAAATCTCACGGTCAAGGACATTTAGTCACTGACCTTCAGGTAAGCAACCTCCAAGGTAGCCTTCAAGATACACAACAACGAAGAATCGCCAAGCAGAAACTGATAACCAAGTTCTGTACCCATGAAAATGGCCTCAACTGTGATCTTGTGTTCATGTCACACTACAATGTGACCCCACCATACTGTTCTGCATCTGTAAAATCTTCCTGACCGTCCTGTTTTGACACCATCACCTCAATAACTGTTTATGATCTCTCTACTTTAACTAGTTTGCACAGTTTTCCATTACTTATTACTTTGGTCAGACCCTTGGCATGCAACTCTTATACTTATCATGTTATTCCAATCATTTGGTTTGTGTTCAGCACCACCTTAGTTTTATTCTTTTGTAATTATCTCCCTGCCTTGATTAATCGGATTATAGGTCATCCATTCACTTGTGATTCAGCTATTGACACTTTACTCACACCATCTGACACTCTTGATTACCTGCAGAGACTTATTATTCAGTCTGTCAACACTCCACTCATACCATTTGTATGATTTTCTGATCTCTCTGATTATAAATTCTGTGCCTGTGTGCTTCACTTCACTTCATCTGACGAAGGGGCTATGCTCTGAAAGCCTGTGATTTCAAGTAAATCTGTTGGACTATAACCTGGTGTTGTGTCACTTTTGACCAACACTGGCACCTCCACATCTTGAGGAACATTACTGTGTACTTTCCTCCAGTTTGATACGTAGCTGTTCACCACTAACCTTTTGACCCTTACCTAATTTTGCATCTGTGCTGCCTCTGCCTCTTTAATCCCATGAGAGTAAATTTTGCTAACAAAGTTTATTATGTCATACACTATCAAAAACCTTTGAAAGATTTAGATGCACCACATCATCCGCTCTACCCTCATTCACTCTCAAGGTTACTTGATCAAAGAACTCAATCAAATTAATTTGAGAAGAAAATTCAGGCAAATGCAGAAAGAACGGTTGGTTGATTGCATTAAATTCCAGCCAAGATGAGTATAGTTAAATTTGCCTCCATAATACTCATTTCCTCTTGTTTTTTTGTTTGAAATGCATAATTTGTTTTATTTCATTTTTCTTGCTTTTTGTGTCACTTGATATGGCTTGAGGGCATTCTTCCAAAGCTTCACCAATAGCAAATAACTGACAGGCAAGGTGTATATTGAAGCTTCCTATGGAAGTCGGTCTGTCTAGTTTTTGTAAACTCCTTAAGTAGACAGGTCGCTGGCCTGTGATTGTGATCTGGCCAGGATCAGTATCATTGCCTCACCTCACACTGAACTCTAAATCCTGACTCTTGCTTCGTAGCTCCAATGTGCTTTCTTTTCGGGTTGCCCTTCTGCAATGCATCTCAGCTGGTACTTTATGTCCTTTTCTTTCAGGGTACTTGCATTTTCTCTCTGATTAACTACAGCCCCCTCAAATACAACAAGACATATGTATATCCAGTATGGAGCTACGCTTTGGGATGGCTGCTTGCATTCTCCTCTGTGTTGTGTGTCCCCCTTTGTATACTTTATAAAATCTGCATGACTAAAGGCACTCTTAAAGAGGTAATGTATTACTTTATTCACAGACTTTGAATGGTAGCAATTGCTGACTGTGGTACAACCAGGATTATGTATGAATGGTATGTTATAAAAGCCACAAATCAACATGGGTTCTGAAAGTCTGTAGACTAGGATGATAACTTTAGGATTGACATATTCACTGACAATGTCTATTAATGACAGAACTTAATGAGGTGAGTGATATTTCCTTAATTTTCCTGCGTATTCATGGGATGGGCTTTCCCATTGAGCTTGAGAATATAGCTGACATCTAGCATTGAAGTAGGGGTGTTCAAAACCCCTGCATTCCCTGTCCATACCTAGACTCCAGCCACATTATCTATTGAAAAGAGATGATTGATTCATTATTGTTGGGGTCTAGGCTATCAATCAGTGCAAATCAAGTTCAGAAAATATCAAGGAGCAAGAACACCTAACAAAAGGAGTCCCTGCACAGAATTTTTATGGGTAAAGTTCACACTGTGGACAAAAATCAAATTAATTGTGCCCAACTTTATAATGTGATTTATAATTAAGACTGCACATGTCAAGAGTGTTGCCTCATTTTTGATTCCACATTGAATATAAAATAACTGATGGCTTTATATAAAGAGCATTTGGAATGATGCATCGAATTTTACGTCCAAACCCCTTCAGTGTCAGAGGTACATAGGAATTTACATTCAAGTGCTTTACGGTTTTACAGAAGCTTCCCTGCTGCTGCCATGCATCTGTAGAATAGTTACTAAAAGATTTGCACCACAGAACTGAGGGGATGACAATTTATTGCCACCATGAAATTCTGCAATAGGCGATTTTAAACACTTAAGCTACAAATTGAACCACTGAGCTATATCAGGCAATTTACTTTCATATAAATTGTTATAGTAACAATGGAAAATGTGTGCACTATTGTTGTGTGAATATTTCAAATAACTTTTTTATCGTTGATGAGATATGTTGTCAAAGCTTTTCGTCTTGCAGTCATGGGGACAAACACAAAAGTTCCAAATTTTAATCATCACGATAATTTAAGACATCGGAGATAAGGGTGCTGATAGTTGACAAGTCAACTCTGATTGATTGACCAAGGTATTGTCATGCAGAAAGTAATAGTTAATTGTAAGTGCCCCATACTTGCAAATAATCCAAAAAAGGTACAATACTTGAGCAAATCTTTTGTTTTATATGCGGAGAACAGATCCCTACACATGAAATGTTTCATTTTTAGCAAGTGTAAGTAAACCTCTTTTTTAATTTATTAATGGAAAGTGAGACCACTTGACTAGGTGAACATTTATTAGCCGTTCCCAATTGCCCAGAGGGCAGTTAAGAGCCAAGCACATTGTTGTGGGTCTGGAGTCCCATGTGGACCAAACCCAGATGGTAATTTTCCTTCCCTAAAGGACATTAGCAAACTAGATTTTGTTTAATTCAAATTCCACCATCTACAATGTTGGAACTTGAGTCTATGCCCCCAGAACATTGGTTTGGGATTCTGGATTGCTAATCCAATGAATTACCACTGTACCACATCCTAGCCCTTTGAATCCATTATGAACTTGACTGATTATCTTCATGAGATTGTTACTATGGCTGTCAGTTCACTCAAAATTGTGCAGCGAGCGCAGCCTAACAGCAGAATTACATGGAAAAGTAATGTTCGGTTTTGGGGTTTGCATGGATGGCCTAGCTGAGTGCAATCTTTTCTCTGTCTATACGTGCAGTCAGAGGAACATGTTTGCTTTGATCAGTCAGTCATTGAGATGTATATTCTAAGTACCTGGCATTGCTCCCGCATATAAATTCATATTGCACATGGTATATCTATTTGATGTGAAATAAAACTCTTTTTGGATTGATTGCATCATCATATTTGTGAAAAATACTGCTCAAGCAACCATTGAAAGGCATCAGCATGGAATTCTAGTTTAACCTCTGTTTTCCAATTTTTTTGTAATACTTTGCCATATTCTGGGGATTTGTGGTAGACCAAAAGTCTGTTTCCTCAGTGTGCTAGTTAAGAAATTTGCTGATTTCTTTTTTTCTTCTCAGTTTCTGACCATAACAAACCTACTTGCACTTGTTAGTGGACACAACTTAGAGAAAAGGAGGATTAGACTATTTATAGATTGACAAACTATTATGTTTGAGAAAACAGACATAAGATGTCAAAGCAATAAAAGAGAGAGTCCATAATGAAAAAGTGATGTAAAGAAATTAACATGTTTCATTGTATTAGAATTACACACATCAAAGCCAATTGTGTGAAATTAAACAGGATACTGATTATAGTAGAGGAATGTGTTCCATGGATCCTAAGAATTACCTTATCAGCAATCTAGTCAATAAAATTTGAGTTATTTGCTCAGCTGCAAACTTGATCACATCAAAGTTATTCTTCGGTATAAAGATTATACTAATCAGATCATTCTTGGCCGTGTATTGCATTATAATCCCAGCTGATGCTATGACCAATTAAGTGAGACTCAGGCCTGAGTCTCACTTAATTGGTCATAGCATCAGCTAGGATTATAATACAATACACGGCCAAGAATAATCTGATTAGTAAAATTTCCTTGTCCCTTTTTGGAAATTAATTTACATGACTGTCATGAGCCACCTATCTCTTCATGGTACCTTCTTCCTGAAAACATGTTCCCTTTGCACCACTGCTACAAATGCAGTCCTACTTCCTTTCCTCATGTCTCCTTTTTAGAAGACTCCTTAGATGTTCCTACTACTGAAATCAGTATCTCATTGTTGGAGTGTTTGATGTTTTGAGTTTCACGCATTTCTCCTAATGAGTTCAAGGTGAACAGCTTTAACAACATGTCTCTCCTTACATCAATAATGTCTAAACTATTTTATTGTGTTTGCATTACTAATATTTGGACTTTCTCAGTTTTACTCTGATAAATAGTTATCTACTTCAGGGTACATTAGTACCCTGCAGCTGGATGTTTAAAAAGAATGAACTTGCATTTATACATCATGATCTCAGGGCATTCCTAAAGTGCTTCACAACTAGGAAAGTGTAGTCACTGTTAGAATGCAGAGAAATTCAGGGAGCGATTTTTGCAAAGCATGATCATACCTGCAATACAGAAATGAATTAAAGTTTTTTTTAAATCATTGATGAGGAATAAATGTTAGTCAAGTTACTAGAAGAAGCCCACCAACCTTCTTTTAATGTCGACTTTTTTTAACCTCCTTGGTTGTTTACAACAAAGCTTTAAGTTCTTAAAGGAGCCAATTGTGAAGATTCTTCAAGTTAAAAAAGCACAAGTTTATTGCCTCATAAACACCTAGCTCATATGTTATGCTTTGTACAGTCACTTGGACACACACAGACACACATGCATGTGCACACACACACACACACACAGACACAGAAACATGCAAAGACTTAAAAAGGGATTGTGGTCAGTATAAAGGAAATAAGAGTATGCATTTCAGTGTCCTTTGGAGTATCCTGAGGCATAAGATTTTAATCTAAGAACTTCATGGGTTATTTAGTTTCTTGGCCGTCTGCAGTCATGAATGTTGGTGCCATCTTTTAAGATTTTAGTTTTTTGATGTTTCCTTCGAGTCAGTGTTGTCACCAGTGTTTTACTTCTTGAGAAAGAGTGAGCCTTTTCAAGCCAGAATTCAGCTTTACAGTCGAAAATCCATTTCTTCCTATCTGCCAGAAAAGCTCCTTGAAATAAAAGTTGATAGTATATTCCACCAGCTAATATTTGTTTTCTCAGCATGATGAATGAGGATGATTTTCATCTCTAACAGGTGATGATTCTCATAAAGGTGCAAATCAAGGAGGAGGTCGAGATCTTTGTTCATCTCCCATTGGGATGGCTGACTAGTTCCACTTCCATGCGTAAAATGTTAATTTTAGCTCCGATTATTCATAGTTTAATCTAAATCAATTTCATGGAACTTGCCTGACTGGTAATCCCTGTGGCCCTTTGTAAAACTGTTTCTTTTCATGAAAGTGAAGAGTATTAAGTTGGTAGATAGAATTCGAAGTTCAGTATCTCATCCGGTATATCACTGACACGAAGAATAGGCAAAATATGATACTTTCAACAGTTCAACAGTTCAGTATTTCTGCAGGATTAGCTTCTCTCTGGCCTTGCTTCATGTACCGTCAATGAACATTCTAGATAAATTCTGTAGCAAATAGTGGCAGAGCCCCTTTCAGCTAAAAAAGAATGTTGATACCCATTAAAACAGTGTCTACTTTCTTAAATTTCTCCTTTATGATTTTTATGGGGAGAATGTCAAGGCCTTAGTGAGGCTAGAGAAGCAATTCATTAAGATGGCACAAGTGATGAATAGCTTCAGCTACGAGAAGACATGAGAATAGCTGAGTTCTTTTTGTTACAATGATCTAAGTTGAGTAGGCTTTCTCTTGTCACAGCCAACTCCTTAAACTAGGTCAATTATGTACCTTCAATTCCATAAGCCTCAACTTTAGCAATAATTTCTTATGAAAGGCTTTATCAGATGCTTTCTGGAGGCCCAGACATTCTCTTGGTCACCACTTTATTCAGCTGTTCAAAAAAGTCATTGAGCTTTGTCAGGCATAATTAATGATAATTTACAAATTCTCTCGATCAGCTAAAAATTTTCAGAATGTTCAGTGACTCTATGCTTAGTTATGAACGGTTGCATTTTCCTGGACTACAATGTAAAGGACACAAAGTGTTGAATGAGATTTCAGCTGTTTAGGATTTAATTAAGGACATTTATCTTCACAATATTATCTAAAGTAAGTTGCTGATTTGATATTATACTGCAGTTGTTGATTAACCATCTGTTCAATTTTATTAGCAGTAACTTTTTTTTGCTGAATTAATGTTAATTAACTCAAATTTTTAGAATAAAATTATTCCCGTAGAATCACAGAAAACTGAGAATGCTGATAGTTTGTTCTCAAGAAGTATAAAAATATTATTTTCCCAGCATAGATTGACATATATACCAAAGTTGAGATCTGGGAA